CCAGGAAAGATCTTCAGGACCTGAAGGACATTGCAAGGACCAAGAGTCAGGAGCCTTCAGGACTCTGACCAGAGGGTCACATGATTTAGAGTGTTGATGGCAGATTTACAATGGTGTTGCCCGAATTCAGTTAAGAAATTCTTAGGATTTCTAGTCAAAGGGGCAGGATGTGGTGGCACATGCCTGAAAACCAGCTCTGGAGACAGACAAGAGAATCAATCGTGAGTTTGAGACCAGTCTGGGTTCCACAGCAAGCTGGTTCAGGGCCAGCTTGGACTCCCCGATAAGACCCTGTCTCAGACTTCCCAAGTCAAAAACATTTATTCTTTGTCCGTGAGAGACACAGGCTGGCCTCGAGACATGGGGCCTATCTGTTTTGCATAAACCAGCTTTATTGGGCCATGACTGGCAAATTAAAATTATACACACTCACTGGGCACAGAGGTGTGAGCCTGTCGTCTCAGAGTTCTGGAAGGCTGAGGCAGGAGGATGGCAGGTGTGAGCTCAGCCTGGGAAATTTGAAATTATGTGCACTTAAGATGTCTCTCATGATAATGTGATACAGTTACACATTGTGATGCAGATCATAATTAGGCTAATTAAGTCCCCATCACTACAGCTGATGCCCACTGCTTGCTGTGTGGCCCTGGTGTTCTGTATGGGAGGTGAGTGCAGGGAATTTCCATCAACAGTGGGTTCCCAGGGACCTAATCTAATCGTAAGTCAGGGAGCCACTGAAGACCACGCAGCTTGCAAGTGATATACATTACAGTCCAAACTTACTCATCTGATCACTGAAAGTTTGTACCTTTTCTTGTGTGTGTGTGTGTGTGTGTGTGTGTGTGTGTGTGTGTGTGCGCGCGTTTAGGAAGTGTCTTACAATGTATATTGGGCTGGCCTTGGACTCACTGTGTAACCTTGAATTCAAGGTTGGCGTTGAATCTGCTGAGATCCTCCTGCCTCAGCCTCCTGAGTGCTGTGATTACAGGAATGCACCGCCATGTCTGGCAATATTATAATTATTTTAGTTGATGTTTGTGACATATAATAACTACATTCACCATGGGGAGTTGGTACATGTAACTAATACAGCTTCAATCTTTTTATATCCTCTTTTCCTTCACCTTGATCTCTTGGTATTTCTCTCATTTGCATAACATCTGTCTTGCTGTTTCCTTTCATCAATCTTTTCTTTTCCTCTTTACTTTGTTTATTTTTTGGGTTACTCAAAGGAGAAAACCCACACAGTATTTAAGCACATAGTGTGTCTACTTTATTTCACTTAACTTTGTTTTTGAGGTGTATCCATTTCCCCACAGATGTCTCAAATTTATCCTTCTTTATAGCTGAGTAGTATTCCATTATGTATAGATACCACATTGTTTGTTATCCATTCATCGCATCTGTTGGTGGACATACAGGCTGTTTCCATGATTTTTTTTTTTCTTTTTTGGTACCGGGGATCAAACTCCGGTCCTTGTGCTCATGAAGCAGGTGGTGGCACCACTGAGCTAAAGCCCTAGCCCTGTTTCTATGATTTTTGACACAGGGTATCTCTATATAGATCAGGCTTGCTTTGAACTCACTATGTAGTTCAAGCTGGCCTCAAACTCATGACAATCCTCCTGCCTCAGCCTCCTGTGCACAGGGAGTACAGTCATGTGCCGCCATGCCTGACTTTCCTCTTGTCTTTCGATCATAGCCAATGCAATATTTATGAGGTAGCAGCTCATTGTGGCTTTAACTTGCATTTCCCTGATGATGAGTGATATTGAACACATTTTCATACGCCTGTTGGAACTATTTACGTATCTTCTGAAAGCCTGGGTCCATTTAAGTTTTTGTGGCTATTGCCTTGTTTGAATTTATGTATTTTTGATATTAATCCCTTATCTGATGTACAGTTTGCAAATATTTTTCTTTCACAGGTCATCTTTTTATCTTGTGTTTCCTTTGCTGAACATAGGGTTTAGTTGGATGTAGCCTACTTGTTTATTTTAGCTGACTGTAGTTTTTCGGATCTCACTCTCACTCTGTCTGTCTCTCTGTTTTGCACTAAGCTACATTTCCAGTCCTTTTAAAGTTTTGTTTGTTTGTTTGTTTTTTGTTTTTTGAGGTGGACACTTGCTAAGTTGGATAGGCCGGACTCTGACTTGCTAGGTTCACAGGTATGGACCATCAAGCTTTACTGAGCTCTTCCTTTCAAGCTGCTCAAGGCCTGCGAAGTTGAATTCTGTTCACCATTCATTCACTCTGATCAGTGGTTGACGCCCTTAGTGCCAGGAATTCCCCCAACCCCAGGGATTCGGCTGTGACTAAGACAGTGCTCCTTACAGTGAAGAAATGCAATAAATGAGCATAAATAAAAATAAAAATAAAGATCTCAACTGGTGAACAGAGCTAGGAAAATACCGCAGGGAAGTCTGCAGGGGCTACTTTATATTCCAGTTGGATTTGGAAATGTAAAATTTGAGCTGAGGCCCCACATGAGAGCAAAGTTCATTTTTAAGCATTGAGATAAGTTGGCCAAAAACATTTATTCTTTTGAGTTTTTAAGCCAGAAACCTAGGTTCAGGGCGATCGTGCTGAAGGTACCAGTGCAGGACAGCACTGGGCTCTCAATCCAGGTTTCCTTTAAGTTCCAGGAGCAGGGTTTCTCTCACAATACACACTGCTCTGGAATGTGAGGGTAAGGACGGGCCTGGAATGGGAGAATCAGTCACAGCCCGGCCAGAAAGGAGAGGGGCTTGGGTTCAAACCAGAGGAGGTCACAGAAGTGACAGAAGGCAGGAGTGCTGTTGCCGGAAGTCCCAGCTTCTCTGCTGTGGGAACCACGTGCACCCGGATTGGACTGGCGGAGCCCCGGCTACTGCTCTTAGTCACGGGTGGGAGGCCCTTGGCCACATGTGGTTTCAATCACTGCATTTATCTGCATGGTTGTCATGCAGCTGGAAGATGACCGCATCCTTATTCCCATCCCGGCCTCTCCAAATCGTTCAGGGGCACAGATGAGATCTGGAGAAAGCTACTTCATCTTTAGCGGGCCAGCCCTGGGGCGAGGCCTGGGGAGTGCACAGTAACGTCCTCCCCACACCCATTCCGCCTTTATTAAAACAGATCCGAAACAACAAACACTAAGGCTTTCCTCCATGCTATCTAACCCTGCCTAGTTGGAACCCTGCCCTGGGTCCACACCCTCTGGGGGTTCTGCAGCCCCAGGGGAGGCTTCTGCTTCTGGCTCTCCGTCATTGCCAGAAAAAACAATTACTAAACAGCCTGCTGCCCAGGCAACTGCTGCCTTGAGGCCAGTCCCTGAGACTTCAGCCAGGGAAGAGTGTGGGGTGCAGGCCTGGGAGTCTGGCTCTGAGCACCGTGGGTGGCCCCGGGGGTCCTCAGAGAGGCTGTCGCTGGGCTGGGGACTGGAAGCCAATTGAAGGGAGGCGCAGACATCACACACGATTGTTAACAAGGCTGTCCCCTGCGTCGAGGTCCCCTCAGTGGTCGCCGATCAGTGTGTCAGCGGCAGTCCTATGGTCACTGATCCCATGACACCTTAAACATTTCTTTTTTAGCGTGTATTTGCAGTACATAATGGTCACGTCTTGTGGGGAGTTGGTCCCTGTGCATAACACGTCTGAGTTTTCTTTATCCCCTCCCCGGCCCCCTGCACCTCCTGGTCCCTTTCCCATTTGCAAAAGATGTCTCCTACTATCTTTTATTTTGCTCTTTATTTATGTTTTGGGTTTGTCATACACAAGAAACCATGGGCTATGTATTTAAAGCTACCACTGCCACCACTAGCGAAAGAATAGCCGCGCGTTGAAGAGATGCTCCTTAGCCGCTTCTAGGCTGGACGGGGTGCGCGGACAGGTAGGCCCACAAGGAGATTTGGGATGGGTGTCTTCGCACAGCGAGGCAGACGTGGGCGCGGTGACAACCCCTCCCCGTTACAGTTCCTCTCTATTCCTAGGGATCAGGGTGTCCCTGCGGGTAAGGAAGAAAACGGATGGGCTCTGTGAGGAAATCAGGAGCCTGTTCAAACGCTTCCCGGGCGGCAGAAGCTCCGGGCTTGGCAGGTGGACGGTGGGCAGGGAGGCGCGTCCCGCACGGGGCGCTGCCAGGGTCC